TCCGGTGCAGCCTCTTCGCCTCGGCCCTGCAGAGCTACAAGCGCGACTCGGTGCTGCGGCCCTTCCCCGCGTCCTACGCCCGCGGCGACTGTAAGGACTTTGAAGCCCTGGTGAGTGTGCTTTGTCCTGGCGCTGCCCACTGCGTCCTGGACCAAGTGCCCTGTGGAACCAGAGGTAGAGGCAGTTCCATCCGCGTTAGTAAACATGACAGCCCCCAGACTTTTCATTCCCAGCTTGGCATGGCCTTGCCTTGGGGAAGGTTTCCATTAGCTAAGAACACTCCTAACACCCTCATGTCAACTCTCACTCCCAAGGCACTTGGTGGCTGCTTCTCTCCTGTCAATGACAAGTGACTCCGGGGACTGAAGTGAGGAATCAGGAATCGTTGCATAGTCCTCCATAGATTTTCTAGCCTGGCCAGAAATAGGGTTGATGTGAATCAGCTGTTTTGCTTAGCTAGAAAGTTATCCATCCGTTTACAAATAGACACCAAAAAGTCACCAAAGCCACCCAGACCTTGGTCTTCCGATGAGGTGATCTATGGGCAGTGCTTTTATAAACTGTAACATCCAGTACGTATGTCAGCTGTCATGTCTCTGATTCTCCAGCCATTTTTTTTTTTTTTTTTTTTTTTTTTTGCAGAGTTCACCTCTGGGTCAGCATTCAAGATATCAGTTATCCTTATCCAAATGTTTCGAATTGCCTAGAAAAATATAACTTACCAAAATCGATTCAGTAAAAAGTAGAATATTGAAATAGCCAATAGCTGATATTCATTAAAGACACCGAACTCCATGTATCTTTGGGAACTGTCAAGTGTGGCAGTCTCCCTTCCTAGCCATGGAAGAGCATATTCTTGTTCATCAGCAAAGCTGGCACCATTTAATTGGTATCAGATTCTGACTTGCACAAGTAACATTCTTCACTGTTAAAAACTTGGAGGGGCCAGGCTTGGTGGGTCATATCTGTAATCCTAGCACTTTGGGAGGCCAAGGTGGGGGCGGATCACCTGAGGTCAGGAGTTTGAGACCAGCCTCACCAACATGGAGAAACCCCGTCTCTATTAAAATACAAAAATTAGCTGGGCATGGTGGCACATGCCTGTAATCCCAGCTACTCTGGAGGCTGAAACAGGAGAATCGCTTGAACCCGGGAGGTGGACGTTGCGGTGAGCCAAGATTGCGCCATTGCAATCCAGCCTGGGCAACAAGAATGAAACTCCATTTAAAAAAAAAAAAAAAAAAGCAAAACAAAACAAAACAAAAAACTTGGAGGGTGCCAGGTTATTGGGCGAACTTTTCTAAACTATTGTAGAAAAAGAAGAAAAAGGCTGGGTGGCTCACGCCTATAATCCCAGGACTTTGGGAAGGCAAAGCAGGAGGATCGTTTGAGACCAGCCTAGGCAGCATGGTGAAACCCTGTCTCTACAAAAAAATAAATTTAAGAATTAGCTGGGTGTGGTGGTGTGTGCCTGTAGTCCCAGCTACTTGGGAGGCTGAAACGGGAGGATGGCTTGAGTCCAAGAGATTGAGGCTGCAGTGAGCCGTGATCACACCACTGCACTCCAGCCTGGACAACAGAGCAAGTCTCTCTCCCTCAAACAAAAACAAACAAAACAAAAAACCATTGAATTAGTAGTCAGAGATTTTCCCTCAAAGAAAACTCTGGACATAACTGGTGTCATTGGTGAGTTCTAGCAATCACTGAGGGGATAAGTAATTCCCAGTGTTACACAGAATATTAAAAAAGAGGCTAGCAAACCTTGACCCTAAATCTAATAAGGTTGATGGGAAAAAAAGAAAATTATAGGCTGAGTGTGGTGGCTCACACCTGTAATCCCAGCACTTTGGGAGGTTGAGGCGGGTGGAGCCCGAGGTCAGGAGTTCAAGACCAGCCTGGCCAATATGGTGAAACTCCATCTCCCCATTATGGTGGCACGTGCCAGTAATCCCAGCTACTTGGGAGACTGAGGCAGGAGAATTGCTTGAACCGGGACTTGGGAGGCAGAGGTAGCAGTGAGCCGAGATTATGCCACTGCACTCCAGCCTGGGCAACACAGCGAGACTCTGTCTTAAAAAAAAAAAAAAAAAAAGGAAAGAAAATTATAGGCCAATGTCATGAGTATAAATGCAAAAATTATCTTCAAGGTATTAGGATCTTAAAGCTAACAATTTATAAAAAAGGGTAATTCCTTATGACCAGGTTGGGTTCATCCCAGGAATGCAAAATTAGTTCAACATTAGGCAATCAATTAATGACAGGCACCATATTGCTAGATTAAAGGAGGTATTTATAATCAACACGTGTTTAGCGTTATCTCTGATGAAATCATCAGTGTTTGGTTCCTCCTTTGCTATCATTCCTAGGAGATTGAGGGACAAACAAAGGCTGAGCCTCCTGGCCCCACCTGGTCCTGGTAGCCCACCTAATGATGTGTTGAGGGCATCTCAAGTGGTGACCATGGTGCACAGGCGTTTCTGGGTACTGGAAGTGTGAGGTTGGAGAAAGAGGCAAGTTCACTGACTTCCCTTGAGGTTTGTTCTTGCAGGTTGAGATACTCAGTTTTCTAAGTGTGCTATATCAGAGCCTGGGAACGAAAATTCCTTCGGTTTTGGCAACAGATACTTATGGAGTGTTTGCTATGGGCCAGGTGCTAAGGATACAGGATTGACCCTTGAAGAGGTTAACAGTGTGCTCAGCTATACTAGGTAAGCGCGGTACAACATGGAAGCCCACAGCAAGGACACCCCCAAGCTGTCAGCTGTGGGCCAGGCTCTGGGAACACCATCTAGGGGTGGAGGCTGATGCTTTGCCGAGTCCCAAGGCAGAACTTCAAGAGCAGAAAAGAGGGAAAGAGTATTCCAGGAGGAGCAGCAGGATAGTCAGAAAGCCAGGAGGTATGAGCTTACAGAGAAGGACAAGACTGCTTTAGTGTAACTGTTGTGGGGAACAGGAATAAATGAGGCCAGCCTATGGAGCATGCAGGGCTACACATGTCCTGCTAAGTTGTGGAGATTTTTGTCCTTGGGCAGGGGAGGGTATTGGGGTGAGATCCAGAAAGACACCCATGGTGGCAGGTGAGAGAGGGACCTGTTTGGGAGGAGTGTTTGGGGTCAGAGGGATCAAACTCACAATGCAGCTTTTTTAAAAAAAAATTAGGATGGGGTCTCGCTATGTTGTCCAGGCTGGTCTTGAACTTCTGGGCGCAAGCAGTTCTCCCACCTCATCCTTCCAAAGTGCTGGGATTACAGGCGTGAGCCACTGCACTTGGCCGCAGTGCAACTTTAATTTTCATCAAGAAACATACCTCCAAGTGGGACTAGAATGCTCAACTTATTTTCTTTCTGCTGGAAGGTCTTGGCCAACGGAACCAGGTTTGTTGAATATGGGATACATGCAAAGGGACCTGTGGAGTTGTTTTGATTATGCTTTTTAAAATTTATTTTTAATTATGCAAGTAATGTTTGAATATATTCTCATTATAAAAAAGTTCAAACGATACCAGTAAAGTAAACGTGCCCCTAATAGATTTGACTCTATCCCTTAGCCCTCTGCAAAGGTATCAGTTGCTCTGTTTAGGGCACATCCTCCCCCCTCTCCCCCGCCCCACTTGTAATCCCTTAAGAGAGCATCAGTTGGGCGGGTGCGGTGGCTCATGCCTGTAATCCCAGCACTTTGGGAGGCTGAGGCGGGCGGATCACGAGGTCAGGAGATCGAGACCATCCTGGCTAACACG